ATATAACAAAGTAATTTATGAAATAGTTTTTTGTAATGATGCACATACGAAAATTTCTGCTATTTTCGAGGTATAAGTTTTGGGCTTAAAGCCATTTTTTTCCTTATTGGCCTGCATATTTGGGCCTTTTGTCAAAAACTCTTTTACTATAACAGGCTAGAACAGCCCAGAATCAAAAAAAGGGAAAATTTCATTTTTAAGATGTTTCAAATTTCAAAAATCAGATATTTTTTTATTTTTATTTATGAATTAATAAATTATTAAATATGTAACTCTAATATAACATAATTAATTCATCCTACCTACACCACCCCTACTGCTCCGATGACTATTCCGGCGATCGTTCTGGCCACTACTCTTCTCCGGCAATCTTTTCGACGACTTTTCCAACGATCGTTCTGACTAACTTTTTTGATTTCGGCTACTATTCCGGTGACCGTCACCGATTTATATAATATTGTCACAGATTCACAATTTAGTCAGTCACATATTATTTTTCGATCACAATGTGATTAAAAACCTTCCATAAAACCATATTTAATGGAAAAGGGGAAATGGCTCCGTGTATGAACGTATGCATCCATATCATGCTGATTTTCGGTGCATAAAACACAACGGCATCTGGAACACGAAGATATATATAATCAACTTCTGATATCGATCAAACATATATATTGCAGCAACAGCAAAGAAATCATTTTTCCAGATTACAAATATATAACAAGGTATGAATCAAATGTTTGGAATGAAGAAAGAATGATGATGATTGGAAAGCACATAATTGCAGATATTTTAATGAGCATGCAACATATTAACGAAACACACATTTGTCATGCTATCCATAGACAGAATTCGTGAACAATATGTAACAAACTTCTCCAAAAATAAAAAATAAAAAATCAACAAACTACAAGAAGATGTCCGAACTTGAAAATTACGTAGAATGCATACTAATCTGAAATTACCAAAACACATTGTAGAACACAAGCCTATGAGATAACTGATTTTATTTTTTTATTTTTGAAGGGGAGATAACTGAATTTATAAGCTACTTCTAGACATCTCAAAAATAAAAATAAAAAGGAAACCGTAAAAAAAGGCTGCGTCTAACTACGCGATAGCATGATGACCTGCGATGTTGGTTTGTTCAAGATAAGTAGTCAAAAAAAAAAAATGAAAATTCTTAGCTATGTCCTAAATTGTTTATTCAAAGCATTATGAATTTTAGGGCGTGTTTGAAGGAGTAATTTTGGCTATGTCCTAAATTGTTTATTGTTTTGATACTTTTTCACTTTCTATTTTACTCTTCAAAAGGCAGTATTTATGGTTAATAAAATGATGGATAGTAAATCAGAAATATTAAAAGAAAAGTAGGTGTGTGGCATAATTTTCACTTACTATAACAGGCTAGAACATCCCAGAATCAAAAAAGGGAAAATTTCATTTTTAAGATGTTTCAAATTTCAAAAATCAGATTTTTTTTTTATTTTTTTTTATGAATTAATAAATTATTAAATAAATTTATTAAATATGTAACTCTAATATAACATAATTAATTCATCCCACCTACACCACCCTTACTGCTCCGATGACTGTTCCGGTGATCGTTCCGGCCACCACTCTTCTCCGGCAACCTTTCCGGCGACTTTTCCGATGACCGTCACCAATTTATATAATATTGTCACAGATTCACAATTTAGTCAGTCACATATTATTTTTCGGTCACAAATCATAATTTTTTACTTCACAAATTAATTTACGGTCACAGCTCAAGAATTTTATCGGTCACAGATCAAAAATTTTGCAGGTCACAAATTATTTCGAGGTCACAAATCAAAAATTTTATAGGCCACAGTTTATTTTTCAATCACAACTTAATCAATTGTGAATCACAGTTCGAATTTTAAGGTCACAAATTATCAAATTTTAAGGGTCAAAGTTAAATAATTTGTCAAAAGTGACCAAATAGTTGGTCACAGACTCACAGGTCAACTAATGGGTCATATACGACCACCACCAACAACCATCGCCACGACACAGCTGTTAAACACCACCGCACGCCTCCACCTTCACCTCCATCTGCACCGCACCACCAGAAATCTTTGTTCCAACCACCACACCACACACCACCACCGCCCGACACAACACACCTCCACTGCCACCAGTCATCACCACCACCGCCACAACACCGCACAGCTCCAACTCCATTGCCACCACCGCCAAAACAACACAGATCAGCACACATGCCCACAGATCCCCCACCTCCACCACCCGCAATCTCACGAACAACTATCACCATTACCCATCACTATCGCCACCACCGCCAAAACAACACAAATCACACACACAACACACAGATCGGCATACAAAACAGATCGCCCACCTCCACTACACGCAACCACACAAAAACCAGTACACGCGCAATAAATCAGCACACACCCATAACAGATCAACAACTGCGCCTTCGCGAGCATGGAGTCAAGCCTCAACGCTACCGTACACCACCACCTCACCAACAAAAACCATTACAAAATCACAATGCAGAGAAGGAGGGCGTAGGTGCGACGGTCCTACGAGCGGTTACGAGTGGCGGTCCTAAACGTTGCACCATCGGGCAAAGCTGCTGCAAAGGCAGCTACTGTGAGTTCAAAGCTGCCTCGGTGTCGCCGCTTGACACCGCTACTATAGTGGGTGCAGCGTCGGTAGGGGTTCCGGTGGGAAGGTGGGTACGGCGCCGGTAGGAAGGTAGATCGAGGAGAGAGGGAGATGGAGAGAAGTGAGTGATTAGGGTTTGGAAATTAAAATGATTATTATATAATTAATATTTAATCTATAAATATAAAACATGTGATTTTTTAAAAGTGAAACTTGTGGTCTGATTTTTGAAAATGGATATTGAAAAGAAGGGTTTTGTGTAATTTCCATATCAAAAAAGTATGACGTCAGATCCAATACGGGTTACGCGTGCACTACTTAATTATACATATGTTTAGAGAATAAAAATAAGTTGGACTTTATGCAATAATGCAAAGAATATTTTGCTTTATGAAAGGAAAATTCCTCCCCAACATGTATAATGCTGTCGATTCTTGATATTTTATATACAAGTGCCTTTGTGTTATTAATATATATGAACTAGATAGAATTGTTGATAAAATATTGTATGTAGTAGATACTTGAAATACACCATTATCGATAGGAATTACTCGAAGAACTCGATTCGAAATAATTTTTTCATATAGGTTGACCAAAACCTATACGTTGCTTTTTGGAAGGCAAAGCCACTAAGGTATCAACCTAATAGATATAATATCGATTAGTTGACTTTATATCATGTGGACATAATGCTCAATCTGAATTAGCATAGCCACACATGCTCAGCTCCTCGCCTCTTTGAATCCATATTCCATGGTGCATGGCTCGTTTCAAGTATATGAAGATTCTTTAAAGAAGGTCAAGGTTCAATTTTTGGGAATGTTAACTTGATAGCATGAACTTGTGGCGCGTAAATGAAAGCCATAGCAGTAGAGCGGGCCATTTCTATTTTTTGAAATTATAAAACTCAAAAGAACAATTAGCGAGTTGAGAAGCTATTGAAATTTGAAAGGTTCAATTTATCATAAAATGATGTTTATTTTCTAAAACGGTTAACTCTAACATTTAAATTTGTAATCTAATTTATTATTTATGGCTAATAGAAAAGGAAAAAATTTAACTTATAATTTCAAATAAAAACTTATAGATTATTATCAGCTTACACAAAGTCTTGTCTGGCACCTTATACAAATTTATTAGTAAAATGTCAACCTTTGAAACTCAGACTACCTGAAAAAAGCCTGTAAGCTACGAAATAACTACATCAATCTCCAAAGTCAAACCTCGAAATGATGCATGTTTTTTCCAATTTTTCTTGATAATTTTATTTATTTATTGGCTACACGAAGACATTTATAGCATTTTTTAGATAAAAATTAGTTTAAAAAGGAATAACTATATCGAAATAACTAAATATAAGATAGAAAAAAGTGTATACTTCTAGAAAACATTCTCATCATTTGACAATTAAACCAGGGGCTGATGTATGGGGACTGGGGCATGGTCCAGTACCCAGCCTATTTAATTTTTTATGTGTAAATAAAATTACGTATTCGTCTGTCTTGAAATTTTTTTAGTCAAATACTAGATCAGCTCTTGAATTAAACTTTGTTTTCGTTTGAATGAATCATTGTATGACTTTAGTATAATTTGACAAAAATGTGAATGTCCACTCATTTGAAGCCAAATAATTTTCAAGGAATAATTTGAAATTGCATGAAGGGGGCCTCTTAACGCAATAAAAGTGTACAAATTTTATGAGTTTTGAAACGTAAATATTTGATCGATCTCCATTCATATATAAAGACTTTAAAGACATATTGACAATGTCAGACGTTCGATCTAACTTGCTAAGTATGTCTTCAAATTAGAAACGCGGTCCAAAAAATTGGGTCGAAGCAAATATTATTGAAATTATTGATTTATAAAGTTAAAAAATAAAAATGCGAAGAGCATGAATATAGTGGCATCCGAATCAGGGTTCCACCTTATAGTGCAGTGCAAGTGGAACCTTTTTGACTTTTTATTTTTAATTTGCCCAACATCTTTTTCACTATTTCATTCTCTTCCACCCCACCCCACCCCACCCCACGCCTCCCCTCTGGTTTTTCAAAGCGCAATGTATACATATACATACACTGTAGTATCATATTCTTAGTCAACGCCTCTGGCCACCAAAACCACAAGCATTGAATATTAAACAAATCGAAAATTAATATAAAGATCTCCAAAGTCAACTATATCTCTCTCCATCTTCATTTATCTTCTTCTCATCTCTCCGCTCTTCTTTTCTTATTCACCTTCAATACCCAGCTATGAGCTTTTAACTCTGATATAATCCTGTTTCTTTCTATCTTTTTAAATCTCTATCTCTATAGGAAATAGTTTTCTGGGTTTCTTGAGAAATGGGCAACGGAATAGCAAAGATTAAATTGTGTTTCGCCGGAGACCCTGGAGAGATTTCCCGGCGTCACGATATAGCCGTATGCTTGACGGACCCTCCCGATGAAGGCTTTGGTCATTCCTTCTGCTACATACGGCCCGACCCACCTCATAAAATCATCCAAGATGACTCTGCGACAGCGTGCATCCCGGCTACTCAAACGGCGGCGTTTCGCACTATTTCCGGCGCCTCCATCTCCGCCAACGTCTCTACCCCTCTGTCGACGGACCCCTTCCGGTTTGCTAGTTCAACCTCTCTCGATAAGGCCTCGGCTTTTGAAAGCTCCCAGTTTTTCTCTTCTATTCCCCTCCAGCCAATTCCCAGGAATCCAATTTCCTCCGTCAAGTCCGGCCCGATCTTGAGGAATTCAGTTCCGGGTTCTGGCCCGATTGAGCGTGGATTTATGTCTGGCCCGATTGAACGCAGCTTCGTTTCAGGCCCGTTGGAGAACCAGTTTGATCAGTTGCAGAGGTACAGGCCCAAATCCAAGAAATGGGCTGTGATTAACAATTTGAAAAAGGTGATATCAAAATCATTACAGGGTTTATCTAAAGAATTGAATAATAATGAGCATAATAATGGTATATCTAGTGGGAGTCATAGTGGTAATAGCAGTACTATTACTAGTAATAATTTGAGTAGTCAAGTGAGCTTAACTGATGATAATGATGATGTTGGAAATGAATCCTTTGGGAGTCAAAATGTGCAGTGGGCGCAGGGAAAGGCTGGTGAAGATAGAGTTCATATCGTGATTTCTGAAGAACATGGATGTGTTTTTGTTGGGATTTATGATGGTTTTAGTGGACCTGATGCCACTGATTTCTTGTTAAACAATCTTTATTCCAATGTTTACAAGGAGCTTACTGGATTATTATGGTTCGACAAGTCAGAATCGTGCGAAAACACCGTCGATGGTCAGTCGTTTATGTCCAAGAGTTTGGATAGTAAGGAAAGGGTGGAGTTGGATAGAAAGTTAAGGGAGAAATTGAGTAATTTGGAGGCTGATGCGGTTCAAGGAAACACTACTATTAACCATTTGGGGGTGTTGAAAGCTCTATCCGAGGCATTGAGGAAGACTGAAGCATCGTATTTGGAAATCTCTGATATGATGCTAATGGAGAACCCCGAGTTGGCCTTGATGGGATCTTGTGTTCTGGTTATGGTGATGAAGGGTGATGATGTATACTTGATGAATGTTGGGGACAGTCGAGCAGTTTTAGCGAAAAAGGCTGAGAACAATGGGAAGATGAGGAAGGATTTAGATGAAATGCTTTACTGCGATGAATTTGAGAATGTGCATAACTTGAGTTCTTGTCAGCTCACAATGGATCACAGTACATCTGTCAAAGAGGTAATAAACATATTTCTTTCCTCTTGTTTAAGGATGATTGTCTGGTTTTTAGGTCCTCTGTTCTATGTTCATGTGCTAAATTTTCTATTTGTTTTATGTCCCAGGAAGTTAGACGGATTCGAACTGAGCATCCAGACGATCCCTTGGCGGTTTTCAATGGAAGAGTGAAAGGTTCATTGAAGGTCACTCGGGCTTTTGGAGCTGCCTTCCTCAAACAGGTACAATTGTTTCTAAGCTTATTTTCAAATTTCAGGATTCATATTCTATGTTTTTATCCTTGTATTTTTGCTTTCATACTCATTTGTTAAGATTGTTAATGTTCATCTACCTTACTTTTACAGCCCAAATGGAACAATGCTCTCCTGGAGATGTTCAGAATGGACTATGTTGGAAATTCCCCTTATATTTCTTGTTCCCCATCACTTTGTCACCACAGACTCGACCCGATAGACAAATTTTTGATTTTGTCTTCAGATGGCCTCTATCAGTACTTCACAAATGAAGAGGCTGTTTCTGAAGTAGAAATGTTCATGATTACATTTCCTGAAGGCGATCCTGCCCAACATCTTGTCGAAGAAGTACTGTTTCGAGCTGCAAAAAAAGCTGGTATGGATTTTCATGAATTGCTTGATATCCCACAAGGAGACCGTCGAAAGTACCATGATGATGTGTCGATTATCATTATTTCTTTCGAAGGAAGGATATGGCGTTCATCAGTGTAACTAGAATTAGAATAAGAGATAAAAGTAGGGGGAAAAAAGGTTATACAGGAAGGTTAAGTTTTTTGTTTTTTACTTTTCTTTTGATACAAATTAGGTTGCAAATCAAGATAGAAACTGCTCTATGTTAGCATCAGGTTGTGGGGATTGTTAATATTGATAACACCTAGTTTCTTCTCTCCATTTCTTGAAATATGATGATTTTTTCAAGATTTTGTAAATTTTGGTACTCTTGAGGTTCACATTTTTCTTCAAGAAGTGCCTTATAAATGGAAATATACTATCAAACTGATAAGAATTCTTCAATTTTTTTAGAAAAAGTTCATATTGGTTGTAAGCCTACTGTGGCCTAACTATTTTCTTCCAGTTTCATTGCTGAAATATTAGTAACTGCTCCTTCAACTTGTTCTATCAGGTTGATTGTTCTTTGCTTTACTTTTTTTTCCATTTAATGTTGAAAAATGTTAGGTGGAAACTGACTTCCAATTGAATGGCTGAAATAATGAAATTAGGAGAGTAGTTCTTCAGTTTGAATTTGAAGTTTCCAGATTTTCTGAATCAACTTAATGTATTTAGGGCCCATGGCATGTCCTTGAAAAGTCAAAACCTGCTTCTAAAACTAAAATGTTAATTTTGAACCTATTTGGATAATTTTTTAGGAGTGCTTGTTTGGTTAGAATAGCATTTCAAGAAAATGGTTTAAAGTAACTTTATCTGGAAATTCTTCTACAACAAAAAAAAGCAAAAACTCTACCAAACAAACTCTTACCACATTTTATTTTGGGTTTTCTTCTTAAATAACAAGGGATTGAAGTTCTATCCACTAATGAAAATCGGATAGTACAATAATTAATGTTGTTTAGTATTATCAAATTCATCTTACTAAACATGTCACAATGAACAAACATCGGGAAAATATCACTATTAGTTCTATTTTGTTATTTCATTCACTTCAATTTAATTTATCATATCAAATATGTCACAATACTATCGAGTGATATTCAATCCTGTTTAAGATGCTGGACAAAACATTGGGAATGCATCACAACTATTCAGGTATAATTTTTTAAGTCCAACGTATCAAATACCATGATTGTTTCATTAATCGTCGCTTTCAACTCATATCGGGATATGTCTTAGACATTATAAGTGAGAAAACATGAAGCTAATAGGGAATATGGAATTTGTCAAATGACTAAGCATTAGCGCGTTCATGATTGTGTTTATCCACTCCAGCTTGCCAAGTGCACGACTTTTTGGACATATTATAAACTTGTGGAGATATTCAAACTTCACATCATTCGAACGTCTACTCGAAAAATAAATAAGTCAAATTTGAATTAATACAAGTGTTATATCGAATTAGGATATTTAAGCGGAAAAATCGAGAACCAATTTGAAAACAATTCCGATTATAAATAAAAAAATGTTAAAATCTACTAAAAACACAAGATCGATTTTATATCCAGACTGGTTTACATTCGAAACGTCGATTCACCATAAAATTGATCGGTTTACATTGATTTGACCTTTGACCCCTTGTGGGTTTACAATCAAAAATGTTGGTTTCATATACGTCAATGTGTAAGGGAAACACGATGCAAATTATTCATATATTTAGCGAACACACATTTAGGTAAACTTGAACATATTTTACGTAAACATAATGATTCTCATGTTCACGAGAGTAATATGACACAAATTAATATGACTTAGAGCTTGCTTGGCATGTCTTTTGAGATTCAATAGCTATTTTTGAACTTGCTCGGTTAATTTTAGAAAAGTGCTTCTTCTTGTTGAAAGAGCTTTTCGTGAAAGCTAATACAAACACAAATTAATGTAACTTTCTCAAGAATCTCTTTCACAAATAAAAGCAAACGTCCTATTAAACATGTCCTTAAACGTAATTATTAAAGATTTAATTACTTCGAGTCTTTTATTGAGTAAAATGACGAAATAAAATGATAAAAGTCCTTGAGATAATTAAGTGCGCATGGAAAGGAACAATCCATAGTTGACCAAATACTAGGCAACAAAAGTGTTGCATAAGGTACCTAAATGTTTAGTTGTTTTGATTGTTTGATTTGTTGGAGGATGATGCAAACACAACTGCGGTAGGTTTCTAATAAATGTAATGGTTGCCCAAAAATATTAGATTCGTGAACAAACCTTTTCTAATTAAATAAATAAATATGCAGACAATTTCTTGTGGTTTTGGTATCTCTCACATCTCGTGACCTATCTAAAGTTTTAGTTCACGTTTGAGCCTCATTTTTTAAAAATAAATTCGTGAAAAATGCCTCTTTATATAATTTATGATTAAAAAGTAAAGAAAAAAAATTTAAATTTACGTATAAATTATTTAAATTTACCCTAAGGGTGTGTTTCATAGATATTATTGAGAAAATAATATATTTTAAATAATGATATGATGAGAAATATGTGGTTAAAAAGTAAGGAAAAATTATTAATGTGATGAAAAAATATTATTTTATTAAAAAATATGTGGTTGAAAATGAATTTTAAAAAAATATATTTTTAAAGAATGCAGGTAGGTTTCTAATAAATGTAATGGTTGCCCAAAAATATTAGATTCGTGAACAAACCTTTTCTAATTAAATAAATAAATATGCAGACAATTTCTTGTGGTTTTGGTATCTCTCACATCTCGTGACCTATTTAAAGTTTTAGTTCACGTTTGAACCTCATTTTTTAAAAATAAATTCGTGAAAAATGCCTCTTTATATAATTTATGATTAAAAAGTAAAGAAAAAAATTTAAATTTACGTATAAGTTATTTAAATTTATCTTAAGGGTGTGTTCGATAGATATTATTAAGAAAATAATATATTTTAAATAATGATATGATGAGAAATATGTGATTGAAAATAAGTTTTGAAAGAATGTGTACCAAACAGAGACTTACTGCATGATTGAAAATGAACTTGAAAAAAAAAAAAAAACTCAAAACGGAGACTTATCGTCCAAAGCAAACTTGTTTGGTTTAGTCTATCACTATCAATACTAGAGGCCGTGTTTGGAACCACTATTGTGATGTCGACACTCCTTTTATTCAGTTATTTCATCTCACCTAAAAAGTGGACCCAATTCCATAAAATTTTATGGTCCAATTTTAAATTTTTTTCCCCCTTTTTATATAATAAAGGACAAAAAGTCAATCGAAACTCTAAAATTAGGTTTCCACATCTCGGGGAAGGAGGTTGAATCTCCATCTCAACCACGAAAGTCGAACCAGAGTTAGAAATTTTCGAGAATTTATTGCTAGAGAGTGCTGCTCGATTGTGGTACACACAACTCGGCTCATTCCTTGTACACAAATTTTCCCCATGTCTGAACTTGTCAAGTCAAAATACAACAAATCGTGTTTTGATAATCAAATCTAAAGTCAAAGGCGATTTCTAGAAGAGGGGGTGCAATTGGTCACAGTCGGATAGTAGATGTCGCGTTTACATATACACAAGCATTCAATACACATCATTTGCACGTAGCCATGCAATAGGGATGGCTGCAACCAGACAAAAAACAAAAAAAACCTGGTCCATGCTCAAATCTTGGTTGATTTATAATTTTTATTAATGATTTTAGTCACATTTCTTAGCCCCTCTTTAGTGTAAAGTTCGATAAAAATTTAAATCAAAATCAATAATAAATTTTAACTATATATTTCATAAGACCGACGACGTTTATCAACTTTTCAATCAAGTATTTTATCAACTTTTATCAAAAATTATTAAAATTGTGACTAATCATCAATATACAACAAGACAATCCTCAAAACAAGAAAACGGAAATCAAAACACTCTTTATGCCGAATTCCCAAATGAAAAAATTCTCTTGTAAAAACAGTGTTCTAAAAAGCACCTAGGCAAAACGGGGAGCAAAACAATTCGCTTGCGCTTTTTCGCACTTTTTTCATGCCTAATCATGCCTAGGTGCACATTTTTTTACGCTTTTTCTTTAATTATTTAATAATTTTTAGATTGATTTAAAAAATTAAAATAAGAAAATATTTTTTTACGCTTTTTTTACTTCTAGATCGAAGCTTGATTTCCAAACTTTACTCTTTTTAAAACATGGCTTAAAAGTATCATCTTTGACTAATGGAAATCTTCGAGATCACAGTGGTGAAGGTAGCAGACACAAAAACAGAATTTTGTAATCAAATTCAACATTTGACTTGTTCACGAGAAGCACCAGACATCATCAATGAAATGACAAGAGTTTCTAAAATTAGCAAAAGGAGACGCGTATTCTTCTTCATGAAGCAACAGTAAGAAAAAAAAAAAAGAAAAAAGACCGTGAAAATAATATTTTTCAGTGATTTTCATGTTTGTGTAGGTCAAAATTGTGTACATTATCTATCAAAATAAAATGCTTCCGTGAAACATAACGACAACAAATTAATCCTTGTTAGTAAATTTGGGATCGACTACATATTTCTAGATTTACCAACAAATCCAAAGCGGTTAGATTCTTAAATACCTGAACAGATATATTCACTGGTCTATCCCTCCCTCTTCGAACCTGTTCCCAACACATATAAAGTATGAAACAGCGTATTTACACGAAAATTGAATCAAAAACAGGCATACCTATTGAAGGCGCTGAGGGATGCTAAGATGGATCCCCCAATCCAAACACTGTACTTACATTCAGGTGGAGCCATTACCTTAATCTTCTTGCCGCTAGGAGCTAATTCCAAAATTTCCTTGGTCATTCTATCCGCAGTACTGCGAAACATAGTAGAACCACCGCTATGTACAATCATTTCATGATAGAATTGTATGTTGTCCCATGGATGCCAGCAGCTTCCATTCCAATCATCAAAGGTTGAAAAAGAACTTCAGGGCATTAGAAAAGCTCGTTCCCAGTAGTAATAACTTGAACATCAGATAACTAAAAGTTCTTCTCAACAGGAGTTCATCTTGGATATTTCCATTTCCTGCTCAAAATCAAGAGTAATGTATGCTAATTTCTCCTTCATGTCCGTAACAATTTCCTTCTCAGCACAGGTAACAAAAAATCACCCACTTTCAGTGAGGATTTTTGCTAACTGGTCTGTGAGATCACAACCAGCAAGTCACGATGAAGTATAGCATGTGGAAGTGCATAAACTTCATAAATGGGGACAGTATGGCCAACACCATCTACACCTGCAGGAGACGCAGCAAACTCTCACTTTCCATTTAAACCAGCGTGACAATAGAGGCACATATCATTAGTATTTAATGAGAAAGCCAAGGCTACTTTATGTTGGCATATATAAGAAATAATTTTGAATAAAATCATCCAGTAAACATGATAATAACCACTGTATCAGAAGCTTGTATATGTGTCCACTGGAAAGCTTGGATCAGCACATCATTCGCTGTTCCTAACTTCAGGATCTAACTAAAACTAAAAAAAAGGTTTTTATAATTGGTGAAGAATTTTTTCTGAGTTTCAGATTCACATATTTTTTTCCTATAAAATGACCACCTCACAAAAACTTGCTATATACCTTCAACATGTGTACAAATTCATATTTAAAATGACTCAACCGGACATGCCCAGATAATACCTGCATCGATTGCACTTGATAATGCGTATAAGGAGAAAAGAATTCTCTAGTTAAATCATCGCATCAAATGATAGGATATGCATCTCAAGAATAGCTTGCACAGAATTTCTGCCCAAGTACTTGCTGAATGAAAGCATGTAATACAACTAGAGAAATGATATCTTGATATTCGTCTCCCAACAATCAATAGTTCCTGATTCTAATGAAAAATACAAATGAAAAAACAAATAGTTTTCATCTGTCAGAAACTAATCTCAACGTACCGGTCATTTTTCTTTTCGTATGTATTAATCTAATTCAAAATTACTCAACGTGACAAATAGCTAGCATATAATTGCATCATATCTTATAAATAGTTTGTGACTGAACAATTTAATGGCAATCTTAAAGAACTTCTTAAAAAGCCAAAACTTAGTCATTAACTGAATGAACTAACCGGTTGTATGACAACTGGCATACAGAGATTAAACAGCCTGGAGAGTAACGTACATGGCAGTGGAGTTGAAGGTTTCAAACATAATCCGAGTCATCTTCTCACGGTTTGCTTTGAGTAGAGAGGTTCCTTTGAGGAGAATTGGATGTTCCTCTGGAGCAACACGGAGTTCTGCATAGAATGTATATGCCAAATCTTCTCAATTTTATTCCATTTACAATACCATGATCAATGGGGTACTATAAAATACCACGCTTGGACAGGGCCTCATGCTGAATATATGCATATTTCTGCTCCATGCCAACCATCATGCTCATGTGACATGGGCGACCAATAATGCTATGAAACACAGCCCTGGGAGCATCATCACCTGCAAACCTAGCCTAAAAGAATATCAATTATACATCAATATAAAAAAGTTCATTGACATGAGAGCCAAATGCATACAATGTCTCTCATTGATGAGAAGGTAGGGCACTCATTAGAAAGTAAATCACAAGATATTTGCTTTCATTATTACCTAGACCATTCCAATTCCATTGTCACGAACAAAAGGTTGAATGTCCCCCTTACCCTCTGCCATTTATGTGGTGATCTGCCAAAATAACAGTAACACCATCAATCAATTCCAAAAGCCACATTGAAGATAAACACGTTAGTTGTTCCCATCATTCTGATGTGTGTAGGTAAATCAGTTTTCCATTTTTACTTCATTAGCAAACACCCACAGTTCAAATGAACAATGTTGTTCTAGTCAATCCTATACGAAGATTTACGAATTCTATGAACAATGGGAAGCTTACTTATCGAGACACGAATTCCATTGGAAGATAAAATCATTGGTTGAGAAACCCATTCAAGGAAAGAAATACAGATGATTAAATCTTCCATTTATATCTTTGGAAGTGATACTTCTTAAAAAAATAAAAGAAGTCTTTCTTGCTTTTATATAAAAGTATCTCCTTCGTGGACTGAGGTATCTCAATTTGAAGAAAAGGACTCCATAGTATTCATAGAAACTAATGGACAGTGAAATTGCAGTCCTGTCCGTGGATACTGTCTCAAAAAAATTCAATAATAATAATAATGAAGACTGTAATGCTTCAATTCTAACTAAATAGCTCATTGGATTCATTTCCTCTCATTAACCATTTCATTTAAAACTGCCACACTACTTAAAAAAGGTTAAAACTAGACTCCCAAGTCCCCACCCACAACTTCTGTCTCGTACCTATATAACTATTTCCACTTCTACTCAAGCTTTCCCCTCTTACATTGTGTAACAAAAACCATGACTTTATTGGCTACTTGGTTCCATCCTCTAAAACACGAAATTGGCATATTTAGCTGTAGCACATAAGCAAATATGCATCCAGAAAGGGCAAAAAAAAAAAAAAAAA